TTTTATTGTAAATTAATAAAAAAAAATCCTACTTTATTTAAGGAACAGTCAAGAATCACTGATTTTTTTTGTTGTTGTTGTTCTCTAAATTTATTGTTGCATCTTTAGGTAAAATGTATTTCTGGGGGAATGGAACCATTACTAAAAATGATTCATGCAGTAGATTCTGCTGTATCCAGTGTATAAGTCATTTCTTCTTTTTTTAAAAAAGAGAAATCTAATGAATGAGATGAGTTGCTTTGGATGTTACTTTAGTATTTTATTTCAGGGAGAGTTTGAGAACTGAATACAATCACCTAGTTACTAACTAGGTAGAGAGGAGAAGATGCACATGCTGGCACATGCTCCCAGGAAAAGCATTGGGAGACTATTTTTCCCATCAATATTCCTATCTAATCTAAGATTATTCCAACAGCATCAATAGCATCAGATTTCCTTTAGTGTCTACTTTGCACCCAATATTATTGTCGTCATCTGTCCATACTTAACCCTTGTACCTATTTACCCTCAAAGCACCTTCACAAAGCGGATGCTGTCATCCAATTCTCAGTTGAGAAACCAGAAGAGTGGGGTGAAAAGCAAGAAGCAATAGCAGATCCCAGGTCTTGAACCTTAGCAACTAGCTTCTAGAATGGGTGGTCTCCCCGTTGTTGTGTGCTGCATTAGATATGGCTGTCCTGTCCAGATTTCTTCTTCTTTTCTTAACCTATCTTGTACAAGCCCAGAGTCCTGGGACAGAGAAAATGGTAATTTATTTAGCCTTAAGCTTAAGGGATTCATGCAGCCATTTTGCCCAGCTCGACAAGACTGTGCATGAAGATCCATTAGTGTCTTTGCTGTCAATGCTTCATAGACAGAGACACTTGGAGCTTCCTTCCAGCCCATTGGGTCAATAAAACATTTTTAACAGAGTCTTAAATATGCATTTCTGACATCCGCTACAATAGGTTCCTAAAGAGCTATTTTTAAGGCCTGATCAGGAAGTCCTATAAAAGTGAATCTCAAAGACTCTGGTTTATCTTACATAATACAGCTTTTCAAGAAAGGAACTACTTGAAATAAAGAGAAAATTTAAGGGTCCAATTAATCTTGTCAATCTTAACATACTTCAGCCTAGGTTTTAGTAATTTCCTCCAAATAATGCCTTTGATTGTATCCTAGCTTGCTTTCTATAGCTGCGATAAATATTGCAATCAAAGCAACTTGGAGAGGAAAGGGTTTGTTTTGTCTAACAGGTCACAGTTCACCATCAGGAAAAGCCAAGGCAGGAACCTACAAAAGCAAATGGAAGCAGAAACTGAGGCAGAGAATGTGGAGGAAAGCTCTTTACTGCCTTGTTTCCTAGCTCACAGTCAGCTACCCTTCCTTCACAGCCTAGACCCACTTGCCTAGGTATGAATCAACACTCACAGTGGGCTGGGCCCTTCTACATTAATTACCAATTAAGAAAATGCCCCACAGACATGCCCATGGACCTGTCACATAGAGGCAATACCTCAGTGGAGGTTCCTTCTCATTTGTCAAGTTGCAAACCACGATTAGTTATTACAGACCTTAAACACATACCCTTGCTTACCATTGGTAAAGACATGTTTCAAAGGTTTGTGTGTGTTGAGGGGTGTGTTTTTGTATTACTTGCTACATCGTTTCTAAGTAAAACGGGTTTATACATTTTTTATTCTTCCCAAAACCAAAGTTCCAAGTTGGATTTTTTTGTTGTTGTTGTTGTTTTCTTTCTTTTTTTTTTTTTTGGTTTTGGTTTTGGTTTTTGATGTATTGGAAAGTCACTTCTTTGCATAAGCTGTATTTATCATGCAATTTCTTCCTTGAAAACGACCATACAAAGAGGATTTTAAAAAATGTTTTCAAAAGATTAATTCATTTGGAAGGGAGAGTAAAGGTGGGGATTTGGGAAGAGTTAGAGGGAAGGTGGTGATTTAATAGGATCAAAATACATTGTGTACAGGTATAAAATTCTCAAAAAATTAATGAAAACATAATATTTGAGAATAAAAAGGAACATTTCACCTTTCTTCATATGTACCAATTCTTTTCTTTCTGTACTTCCCCTCCATCCTTTCTTCCCTTCTCTGCTTCATCCTTTTCCTGTTTCCATTATGTTATAGACATTTAATCAGTTCCATCAACTTAGAATATGTGCCATGTCAACCCTTTATAACGAAAGTGGGCATCAGTTTAAAAATAAAAATTATGTATCCTGAATGTTATTATAGGAGAATTATTTGAAATACAGGAACATGTATCAGGAAAATATTTGCATATTGGTTCAAGAAATGCACCCAAGGGAGACTTTGAATGATGAGGGTGCAGACACACTGACACATACAACACACACACACACACACACACACACACCACACACACACACACGAGAGAGAGAGAGAGAGAGAGAGAGAGAGAGAGAGAGAGAGAGAGAGCAAATGAAATGCAGAAATCGCACACATTCATTTTTGTTCTGTTTTTGAAGATATTGTTGCACAAAAAGCAGGCTTTCTCGGGAAGAAAAACATTCTCCTGTTTCTTCCTTCCAGTTCTTCTCTTTCCCAGAGAGCTCACTCTTATAGTAATTTGAACTGTTCCACCATGCTTCTTTATCTTGGTTGTAAACCATCACCACACAAACACTAAATATCTAATTTCTTAACATATGAAGAGGAAATAGACTCAGGAAACTTCCCACAGGATCATTTTAAACTGGTTTTTCTCAGTTTATAGCCCAGAAAGATTCACTTGCATAGTATCTAAGCTACTTTTAGTAGATTTCCAATCTGGGGGCAAGTACTGGTTGTGATGACAAGCTTCAGCTCGGCTTTTAATCATCCACCTGCCAGTCATTCCTAGACTCTTCCTTTCCTTTCCATCATGATACATAATTGTCATCATTGGGGAGTCCTTTTAAAAGAAACATTATCCTTAGCATCCATCTCCCTTGGGTTTCTCCCTTGTATAGAGTAAGACAGTGATGCATGGAGCTGGGGAAGAGAGACTGTAGCTTGGAGCATTTGGGCTTGGCAGAGAGTTGATGTTGCCAAATATAATCTTAAAACAGTATCTTCTTCTCACCTTTGGGGGCATTAGAAATTTTCTTTTCCTGTTAAGAATAAAGTTGATAATGCACTCAGAGCTCTGACAAACCCAAGAGATAGGGAAGGATGGTTAACAGAGAGATGTCCCATGGGGTTTCCTTGCAAGGAATTTATCCTTCCTCCTGGGTGAATGTTGGTGAAGAGGGTAGGAGGCAAGAGATGCTATTGAAGGTCTGGAGTGGAGGAAGAACTAAGAGGTTACTGTGCACTGAACATACTTATTTCAGATTGACTTACACTGACCAGGCACTTCCTGTACTAGGTCCTAGCTGGAAAACAACAGGACCCTTTATAAAAGTAAATTCCGGGTATGAAGCTGTAATTTTATAAATACTTTATCTTAGAATTGCTTTTTATACTCAAGATGAGGATATGAACAGCAATTTGGAAATCTGAATTGCACAGACAATATCCAAACTGTTATTTGCACGGTATCCTCTGTCGTGAGTTAATGTGGTGTCACACCTTTGTGACTGGCTGAGTGTATGGATGTTGGGCACAAACCAGAAGAAGCCATTTTCCAAACAATCCATATGCAAAAAGGGAAAGTCCGATTTTCTGAGCTATTAAATGACTCTGCTTTGACAAGCCATAGATCATCTTGAAATCATTTAGACTTGGACGAAGATAAAATTTGGGAATGGATTGGCAATGGCGCCACAGTAAAGGCTGAGAAGTAATTATGCAACAAATATTGTTGTGATTTGAAATAACATTAGCATTTAGATTTAAAGGGACAGTCCCCTGGGTATTTCTGAAAGCACAAGTAATATTAAATAAAAGGGGGCATATTTCTAGTTGTTAGAAAAGGTTGTAATAAAACTGACTCTTCCCTTTTATTGCAGTGTGTCTATTAGTGTGTCTGTGTTTATTCCTTTTCCCGAGGAGCCAGCTGGTGTGGATGATAGACTTTATAATCTCTGTGGTTGTGATACAAACCCAGAGTTTTACTTTGCTAGAATTTTGTCAGTTTCTCATTACATTTTGCATGGGCCAAATTAAATATAGGATGCTGCTTTCAGTAAGAAATATGAAATGTAGATCTGGGTAGGCAACCACATTTGAATGTTTACTCTACTTTATTTGCTATGACAAAGACATCTACCTTTCTTAATTATATTCTATATCCAGTGCCTCTCTATCCACCTATCAAGTACTTGCTACATAGGTTTGGATTGCTGATAACTAGATAAGTGCAATTGTTTTCATTCATCCTTAGCCAGTACTAGCATTAAAAAAATAGTTTGCTGTGCTAAATTTTCAGGAACTGCTGTAGCAGACTCCTTTCATGCAGTGAAGGCTGCTGGACCCCTTTATAGAACCTATAAAACCCACAAATCATAACATAAGGGAAACTTTTTCTATCAAATGTTTAGCATTTTCATTCTGTCAGCAGAAGCAAATGGTCCAGGGTTATACAATCAGGTTGATTTGACTACTGGAGTACTCTGAAGCTCACTAGTTTGGCTAGACAAGCTGGCCTGTGAGTTCCAGGGATCTACCTGTCTTGGCTCTGATGGTGGTAGTTTACTGCTGCCTACCAGCCTCCCCAGGCTGTCCATCTTTCTAGCTGTCTTTAAGCAATTCTGACAAGACAAGTAGATCTGTGTTCAAAGCACTTTTGAACCCTGATAATATGCAAGAAATGATTTAATACATAAAATGATACAGACCCCTCTCTATAAGAAGTTTACATGCCAGTGAGGGACACAGGGGCAGTAAGGACAATAAATAAATTGCACATAGCATTTAAAGGTAACAGGTACTCTAGGAAAGGGTGAGGGTCAGACACAGATCAAAGGAAGGATTCTCATGAGTGCCTGCTAAGGAAATTAGGATTTATTTCAATAGAGTAATCAGTTGGACATCTTATGGAGCAGCATTTGAGCAAAGATGAAGATGATTAAGGGTGAGCCAGAGCTCTGCAGGGATAGTGTCCCAGTTAATATGGGAATTCCTGGGAAGGACTGTGCCCAGCATGTTAGCTTGATTGCCCCGGGTAATATGACCAGTGTCCATGGAGGAAGCATAAGAGCAAAAAAGAGTGGTGGCAAATGCAGACACACAGAGGGATGGGACAAAAGGCATGCCAGACATTTATCTTTGATAGCTCTTATGAGAGACATGACAAACTTCTGGATGCTTTTTGTCAATAAAGAATCACCATTTTGTGCAAGATGCAATCCCCATGAACTTTGGAAACTGATGAACTAGAGTCACTCTTCTGTGCATCTAAGCAAGTTATTAGTTGTCTGTAGGACTTCGTTATTTCATCAATATGCTGGGGGAGATACAATGTAAGACTGTTGGTTTCCAGCATACTAGGCTCATGATCTTATATGCCTATCATAGCTGCTGACTTGACTGTAAATCAAATAAGATTCAAAGTGCCTCTAGGAAGCACCCACATCCCTTTTGCTATTTCCCATCGTAAGTGCTGCTGCTGTCTTCTATTAAAGCCAAGTAGTCACTTAAGTCTGTGGTACTTTCATGAAGTGTCAACCTAGCTATTACTGACTTGATTGAAGGCAGTCGTAGTTGACAACTGTTAGCTAAAGCAACATGACCATGAGTGTCTGGGTGAGGGTATAATGTACCATTGGCCCTGTTCCATTAACTCTAACCCCAGGCCTGTGAAGATAGGGAGAGATTTTCCTTTCACCCAAGTTCAAACTTTGATGTTTGCTTCTGCTCAGTATTGTGCTGTGATGTTTGTCCTTCCTGCCTGGCCTCCTCTTTCTTCCCCAATTCCTCCTGTACATAGCTGCCAAAGAGATGGCACTGAAGCAACATTCACATGGGAACTGGCCAGTGTCTTTCCAAATTGCTATTCAGGCCATCCTCCAATGGAATGACTCTCCTGAGAGAAGGATGAGGCGCCCCCTCCACTTTAATCCTGTCTTAACTGGCCTGAAAGCCTTAGTCCATTGTTTATAGTACATTTCTGAAATGCCCCAATCATTGCTTTGGAGAAATGGCCAATTGTAACGTGAAACAATGACTTGTATAAGATCAATCTATAGCATCTTGAAGAGCCAGAAAGTGAGGAAGTGTTCAGAATAAAAACCAAAACAAAGTAAGCTTACAATGGTCGCTGTGGGAAAGGGACATAGAAGCCAAAAGAAACTTTGCAATAGTGAAATCTGGGATGTTTGAAGTGATTAAATGACCTCACACTACATTATAATACCATGCAAAATTAAAAATACATGAGTATGCATAGATATAAAGAAGTATGTGAAAATGGAGATAAAGAGACCAAGATCATGCAGAAGAATTCTAAACACTTTTATTCATTATCATAATTTCAAGACCCAGACTTTGACTCCTCACTTTCTAAAGGTAGAAACGTAGACTATTCACAGCAACTTCCTTCCCCTACAAATGGGGAAGTAAGAAAAAAATACAATAACAATGGAGAAATCTGACAACTGCTGCATCAGCCTGGTGACCAGATTCAGCATCAGCAAGGCAAAGTCGATTGTTAGTGTATACCTATACACTATACAGAATAGGCCCAGAGTAGATTTGCCTCTCCAATCTTCCTCTCAAAACACATAACCTCACTCTAATCATAAGAAAAGCAGACAAATCCCAATTGGAAGACACTCTGCAAAAATGCCTCACCAGTCTACCCCCAAATGTCAAGGTTATCAAAAAGCAATTGAATGTTTGAGAAAATGTCACAGCCACGAGATACCCAGGGACACAAGGGAAATGAACACAATGTAGTCTGTCTGGTTGAACCCTGGGGTAGAAAAGGTTAAAACTAAGGAAATCTAACAGAGCTTAGAATTTGGTTGATGCAAATATGTTAGACAGTGTGATTCATGGAATAGCCTGAAGTGTCAGAAAGTGAGAGAGTGCCCAAAATGAAAGCCAAGCAAACACAGAGTATTTACCGTGTGTCAAGGTGATGCACAAGCCAGTGAAAGGTCTCCCAGCCATCAGGCAGGCAGGGAATGTAGCACTGGATCCTAATGCCAGAGAAAAATAAACATCAAATGCATCATATGGAAGATGTCAATAATTAGATAACACAAGCAGGAAAGTGTAGCATATCTGGGGCCTTTCAACGCCATCTTCTGGAAATCTAAAGATACTTTGTCTTAATAAGATGAGTTTTTCAAAAAAACTTCTGTAATTGTCATATGATTATGAGGCCTGCTCTTCATAACTGTCCATTGCAGCCTCATCTTTCAACTCAGAATCTTGGAAATCTTCCATGGAGTCTCCATACATAAATGCATCTCCTACTCTACCTGATTACAGAACCTGGGACTTACACTATTGCTGTTACTGTTAGTTAATTCATATATTTTACTCAGTCACTTAGAAAAGACTTCTAAACATCCTCTATGTTGATCTACCTAAGAAACAATAAATAATAACCTTGATCCTGTCTTAGTTTACAGCTTGGCTGGAAAGGGCCAAAATCATTGACTACCAGGTACTTGGAAATGTATAGAATACTAAGGGAATAAATAGCTGTGGAGGTGATGAGACATTCTCTAAGAAATTGATCTTGACATTGACCTCTAATGAGAACTCATGGGGATTCTCATACACATATACACACACATACGTATGTATGTATGTGTATGTATGTATGTGTATGTATGTATGTATATATGCATGTATATATTACCTATATATTCATGTGACCACTTTTCTTTCTCCGCCCCCCTCTTTCTCTACATGTTTATGTGTGAATGCATGTTGGAGGGAGATGATGTTGGATGGATTGTCATTAAGAGACAGGACATCAGGACTTTTCCTATGTGCTGGAGTGGTGAAGGAGAGTAGGAGCTAAGAGATGCAATTTCAGAAGAGACCATATATGCCAAGACAGGAAAGAGAGTAGTTGAACTTGAGATGTACAAAGCCCTGGATTTAGTCATCACCATTTTCAAAACCAAACAAGAAACAAAAAGAGAGCAACGTCCATACATTGTTGTAGGCTCTTGATCATGCATCAGGCTCACTGGTAACATTGTAGGTTACATATACTCTCTTGTTTCTGCCCACACAGCTTCAGCTGCAGGTATGGGGATTACTATTCCCACTCTAGAGATGAGAAAACTAAGACCTTCAAATGCTAGGGAGTCAGGAAAATTAGTGAGAGGGATTCCCATCATGCCCTGTCCCACTGTATCTAAAACTCAGTGTTGCTAAGTTCTCAAAGAGCAAATTGCCTTATTATTCCCTTTCCCCTGTCATCTTTCTGTTTTGCACTTCCCTATGTGTCCCTACATGTCCTCTATGTATCTAGATAGTATATACTCCCCCAAGAGTTTATAACACAGCAACATGTTGATCACTTGTTCAAGAGATTCTGCTGACTAAATGCCAAAAGTCAAGAATTCTAAAGGACAGGAGCCCATTTTGGTAAAATGAAAACCCATTGTCTCTGAATTAAAAAGTTGAAAGTAGGAAAGTTAATTCCTGATATATTTCATAATGTGGAAAAGCTCATTGCTACCAGAGTAGGGGAACTGACTCAACCTAGCTATGGCAATGATTAGCTGTAACTTGGGAAGCTAGTGGAAAAAAGGTGACTAGTTTATGGGAAGCTTAACAACAAAACAATCCAAAGCAAAAGGAGTAACTTGACATTCACCAACCTTTAGTGAGCCAGCAGCTCACCTATGCAGGAGCTACTACAGGTTGAAATCCATGAGGATGCCCATATGCATTGATACATGCCCAGGTGAGCTCTGACAAGTCCTGTGAGTAGCCATGCCATGGAAAGCACATACTATTTCCTCCAGAAATTCTCCCTTTCATTTGTACATGCTGCCTAGGGTTGGCAATGATTCCAGACTAGATTTTTATTCAGCTCAGCCCCCTTGACACGGGCAGGCAATGGGAAGGAGAACAGTATCCTGGCCACTTCCCTAGCAGTGTGGGTTCTGCATCACTGGCGTTCTGCTCATCAGTAGTGGGTGTTCAGAGAATCTTAAATGCACATAGGATAGGTAAGAGTGCTCAGCACAGTGCATCTAAATCAGGTGGTCTCTTTACTTGGCATTTTAGCTGCAGGCATTTGCTGCTCCACTGATTTCTATTACATCCAGCCCAGAATAGTCACATCTTGAGATGCCCATTAATTCGCTGGTGTTCTTCACTGTCTTCAGTCCAGCACTGAAATGCCTGTCTTCTCTGAAGCTGTATGGACCAGGAAAGAGAGCTCTTTAGCAATTGGATTTCACAGGCTTCCTTTATAATTCTGTCTTTTCCTCCAAACCTGTTTGTGTGTTCTTATATGTCTAAGTAACCCTTGGGTTAGGTCTAATAGGTGGTCCTCTTTTTATTCTCTTGCCAGAAGGAGGGACCTGTGAAGTGATCGCAGCCCACAGGTGTTGTAACAAGAACCGCATTGAGGAGCGGTCACAAACAGTGAAGTGTTCCTGTCTACCTGGGAAAGTGGCCGGGACAACAAGAAACCGACCTTCCTGTGTGGATGGTGAGCAATGGGTTTTAGCACTCTCAAATAAGGGTTTGTTCATGAGGTCACTGCATACATGTTTTCTTGTGTAAACTAACTGTGGTTCTGGGTCATGCATGAGCCATATCGAAAGTGCTGTGCAATCAAATGCCGGAACTCAGCATAGACATGAACTTTGGTTCCTCTAGTATTAAGTTTGAGTGTCTACTCCAAAACCCATGTAGAAAGCAGACTGCCATTGTTGTGGGTGCAGAAAGGTGAGGCATCGGAGTGGTGCCTGAGCCATGAGGGCTGCACCATTATATGTGAGGTTAATGCCATTTAAATGGGTGAATTCAGCCTCTTCTTGTGCCCTCTTTCTCAGGTTCCCACTGCGTGGCAATGTATTAGCAAAGGCCTCCACCAGATGTTCATGGATTGATTTTGTATATCCAAGCCTTTAGAGCTATGGGAATTAATTTATGTTTGTAAATTACCTAGTCACATGTGTTGTTATAGCAGCAAACACACAAGCAGAAGCACACGCACACGTGCACACACATACATACACACATACACCCACCCACCCACACACACACACACACACACACACACCTGGCTTGGTGGGGGGAGATAGAATTATTCTGATATTTTAGAAGAAAATTAAAATAAAAGAATTTTAGGACAAGAAATGTATGGTTTCTTTGGAAATTTACTTGGAAAGTGATTTTGCTTGTGCCTGTGTAGGAAGGTGATGGTGTTAGTGATACAGAAATTGACAGTACCTAATATCTATTTAAAAGATATTTAGTGAGTGCTGCCAGATATTACTGTAGTTGCTATGGATATATGTGTGAATGATCATCATTGCTTTGAGTGCTCCTATGTGCCAAAATCTGGTACATATTGCTCACATGATTTTATCTAAGGCTACCAAAAATCCTACTAGTGTTATATGATTTATCTATTTCTGTGTTATAAGTGACACCCAAATTTAATAGCTGAAAATACCGGGCATTGGCTCAGGATTGTTCTTCAGTTGGTAGAACGCTTGCCTATCATGTGCAAAGCCTTGGGTTCAGTCCCAACATGGCATAAACATGGCGTGGTTGTGAATGTTTGTAATCCCAATGCTTAAGAGGTAGACATAGGGGATCAAAGTCATCCTTGGCTACACAGGAAGTTCAAGATCAGCATGGGCTGAGCAAAACCTTGTCTCAAATAAATAGACTGAATTAAATTCTAAATAGTATCCTATCACGCTGGGAGATCAAGAATTAAATTTAGCTGGGAGATTCTGGTTCCAGCGCTCTCATGTAGCTGTGATTGAGATCTACAATGTTGACTGAGGGTGGGGGACAGCTTTATAATGGCTTGCTTATACTGCTGTTGGCAAATGCTTTTGTTTTCCACCATGCAGACCTCTCCATTTTAACCTTGGTATCTTTGCAACATGATACTAGGTTTTCCCAGACCATCTGTAAGAAAAGCACACAAGCTCCAATGTCTTTAATGTCAAAACTCAGAACTTATCCTTCATTGTTCTGTTACTGTTCTATTGGTTACACCAGTCTACCTTCTTCAATATAAAGATAATTTGCCAGAACATGAAGACAAATAGGCACAAGTCAGCAGAGGCCATGTCCGAGGCTGCATACGAGAGGAGGCTCAATTTTCTTCCCAATGCAAATATAAAGAAACAGAGTAAGAACAGTAGGATAAACCCCTTAATACATGCTTTGAAAATCACTTCTTGTCTGACTTTTAAGGCCAGTATAACAAACTTTAATCCTAAATCTCGTTGCCACCTTTAAGATAATCTTATATACTATGGCCATGCGGTAAACCTGTGGTTCTCTGCAGCTACCATAATTTAAAGGTGTAGGTGTGATTTGATCTTCTAATTTTTCACCAAAAGATTTAGGACTCAGGAAACTGACCCATTTGAACAGGGTTGTAGAGCAGTGCTGAGAATTTCTATCTCTTGGCTTAAGTCTACTCTTCCTTCTCTAGATATGCAGGGTTGATGACACTTTTTAGATACGATTGTGCTTTGTGTTTCTCCTTATGGGTCAGTAGGTAATTAGAGAGAGAAGCCATGGTAAAGAAAATAAAAGATATTTTAGGAAGTGAAAGAATTCTGCTTTAACCAACCACAGGAAATTTTTTTTTTTTAGGTAGCTGCTAACTATCATCTTTTCTTTGATTTCTGATCTTTCTTTACTTCATTCTCTTTTGTAGAGTTCAATTCTCTCTTCAAGCTTTTACATGCACACTCTCATATGAATTAGAAATGGGGAAAAGGCACCTTTCTGGTCTCACTTGCATAAGAGTAAAGCTTCCATAAAGAATATTTAATGAATATTCTGTAAATATGATTTCCGAGACAACAGAATATATTGGTCCAGCTTAGGTCAAGAGGGCATCTTTTGCCTAGTCAACTACAGCCATAGGAACAAGCTTACATAGACAGCACAGCTGTACTTCCAATCCCAAGAAAGTCAATTTTGTCTTAAATTAATATGATTAAGCCAAGTTGGAGAAAACAGTGCCATCAGTTCTGCACTGGAACAATTCCTTCCAGGAGTCATCAGGTAATATCTGGAGACATTTTTATTCCAGTTACTTATCAAAGTAGGAAGAGCATTACTACTCTTTGTTTCTAGTGGATAGAGACCAAGGCATACTACTAAGCAACTATAGTACACTGGACTCACACACACACACACACACACACACACACACACACAATCCATATAGAACAGTAATGTCAGTGATATTGAGGTCGACTCAATTGGATTGTGACTCAGACTGATCTATATCACAGTGAATACCATGAAGCACTGCTAATGACCCAACATCAGGAAGCTAACCTACTAAAGCCATTGTTGGCCTTTTCTAGGAGGAAGCGCTTGATCCAAGAAGGCAGGAGGTATGTGATAGCATAAAACTATCACAGTCTCTTAAGCTCTTAGCCAAAGAAAGCATTGAAGTTGTTAACTAAAAATCTCCAACCCAATTTCAGTTAATTTTTGTCACTGATGACCTAGGATGAAATTGCCTTCAGATTTTGGATGAAAAACAATGTATTGGCTGTGCTGACAGAAGCAGAAATGGCATTTGGCTCTGTCTTTATGTTAGATGATAAACCATATGACAGCAATATTTTACTTAAGAGTTTATTTCATTTTGGAAACTATTTACCTTCAGTGTGCTTGTTCCAAACAAAAGGACAGCTCCCTCTACCTTCCGAGCTAAAGCCAATGACAAAGTTCTTTAGTCTCATGATAAATATGCGTATATAAATAACATTCTATTCTCAAATCTATGGGCTTGCATGGACAAGTCTACGTGTTGCTATCATTAAATTTGTTTGGAGGATCTAACACTCTATATGAAAAATAAATATGAAGCAATCATTTTGATGTAGCTACTAGAATATTGGGGTGAGATATTATACCCAGGCAGAACCTCTGCTGTACTTGGTACCAGTAGAATGATTTTTGACAAACTACGTCTTACCACAGTGTGTTGTCTCCTCCAAAGTGAGGGTGAGAAAGATTTTTGCCTCCCGATGGTGAAGTGGGGAATAGTAAAACTATCCTTGTAATGTGATTTCCATTGTCTTCCTTCAAATGCTCTCTAAATTATAGGTTCTATTTCTTATCTTTAGACTAGCATGTGTGGAAATTGTTGGAGATACTAACCTACAAAACTTTGTAAAACTCTTTGCTGTTTTTATTATAAATGCAGCTTGGAGACATTTTAGCCCCCATGTGTTCTGAGAATCTCTTCCAATCAATCATCCTGGATATCACCAATTTTCCCTTAGGAGTCCAAACTCATTGTAGGGATTTTTTTTTTAAGCCACAGATATATACTATCCATACATTAAAAACATCAGTGATAGCATTTCCCAGAGACAGTGATGTTTTGCGTGACTGCCTCATAGTCTAAGGCCAACACTTAAGCAAAAAAAGCACAAAGGAGATATTTACTAGATTTAAATGCTATAATATTGATTTCACTTAATATGTGATAAATATTTCCCATGCTTGTACATATTCTTCCAAACATAATTTTTAATCACGGAATAAGATTCTCAATGGCAAATATACCATCATTTATTTGACTGCCCTCTGCTTTGACACACTTAGCATCTTTTTTGCATTCCCCTGACTCACTTTCCTAAGAGTAATTAGACATGAGCATCCCTCCAGGGCAGTAGTTGATGATGTATGCATGTGTGTTCCACATTTGTCCTAAGCACACGGTCTTACACAGTACATTTTCCATGGAAAATGTCTGAATGCTGTTACTTTCTCTCCTCTGCCGTTAAGGTCAGCTGTCACCTATCCTGTTGTCAAAAGCAGAGTAGCTATGACTTGGAATGAAGAATGTGGTTTATTAGTTTAGATTCAAAATCTGATATCAGATTACTTGAAATGAGAAATTTGAAAGTAAAATCTTAGCCATGTTTTCAAAGCCTATTAGGCATTTGAGGAAAAATTTCAAGTGATGGCTGTTTAGTTTTAAAATAATCTCTGATCACTGAATAACTGAAACCTCCAAAATACACATTCATCAGATTATGGCACAGCAGTCTATAAATATATACACAATCATCACTCCCTTGTCCCTGTGCTTAGGATGTAACAGCATCTATGAAGGAATTCTATAAAGGAATGTGTCGCTGCATATTATCTACCATTTAATCCTATAATTAAAGTAAGTTAAAAAAAACCTTACTTTGGATTATGATCAGAACAAACTAAAACTGTAATTTTTCTTTTAAGTACTTCTAACTGCTTCTCAGAGCCTAAAATAAATCAAGTACACATCCACAAACATGAAGATGATAAACATATAGTAAGCATATCCATATAAGGGAAGAATTTGTTCAAGCAAGGGTTATAAAACTCTGAAAACAGACCTTGAAGGGGACTGCTGAAGTTATAGTCTATAATTTTAGTGCTCCACCAAGGCATAAAACAGTATCAGTCTAATTTTTTAAAAAATAATGCAATATGTTAATGATA